GTCTTTCATTTTGCTTAATGAAATACTACAACTGTTCTTCATTTAATCATTGTTTGCTTAACTCTCCTAAACAAAGCCACTAGTAAAAGTCCTCTTCATTGAGGCTGAAAGAACTAAAACATAATCGTCTGATAATTGGTTGGCAATTAACATTCTGTAAGGACTGATTGATCCTTACTGGCACGCTCACAATTATAAAAATAACCTTCAAAGGCCAAAAAAATCAACAATTTTGTAATAGATACTCAAATATATGATTCTAATTACATGTTTGTTTTACATTATTAGTGCAAGTTTAAAAAAAATATGTCAATTTTATTAGATAGAATGTATATCGAAATCTAAACCAAATAACAAAAATTACAACCAAACAATAAAATATAATTAAGTCTTTCATTTTGCTTAATGAAATACTACAACTGTTCTTCATTTAATTATTGTTTGCTTAATTTTCCTAAACAAAGCCACTAGTAAAAGTCCTCTTCATTGAGGCTGAAAGAACTAAAATATAATCGTCTGATAATTGGTTGGCAATTAACATTCTGTAAGGACTGATTGATCCTTATTGGCACGCTCACAATTATAAAAATAACCTTCAAAGGCCAAAAAAATCAACAATTTTGTAATAGATACTCAAATATATGATTCTAATTACATGTTTGTTTTACATTATTAGTGCAAGTTTAAAAAAAATATGTCAATTTTATTAGATAGAATGTATATCGAAATCTAAACCAAATAACAAAAATTACAACCAAACAATAAAATATAATTCCTATAAATTAAAAATCTCAATCTAACTGTGTTTGGCAAGGGCTTTTTCAGGCTTTTTTGACTATTTTAGCCACAAAAAACAAAATAGGCTATTTTAGCCATAACAAACAAAACATCACATCCAACCTATAATCATTACATTCTTCTCTCACAAAAAAAGTCAAAAAAGTCAAAAAGTCAAAAAGCCCTTCCCAAACCAAGCTTTTTAGCCCTGGCTAAAATAGCCAAAAAAGCCAAAAAACCAAAAAATCAACCCACTTCCCAAACGAAGGCTCTATACTATAACATATCCAATCAAATCAATTCAAAAAAATTTAAAAAGTATCATGTTATTACATTGCACCTTTATTCTAATCAACCAAACAGTACGGATAGCCTGCACAAACAAGCATTGAAGCACACAACTTGGTATTAGCAGTTTCCAATTGTTGCCATTGGTTTTCTCCATGAGCCAGACACTTCTATCTTTCTCTCTCCACTTTTCTGTCTTTTCCTGAGACATTTTACTAAAATTTAAAATTTTGCAACTTGTACCTAATAAGAAAACAATAACATAACAACTTTTCATAAGAGAAATAAAACAATTTTTTTCAAATACTAAATTTGAAAATTTTAATTTAATTTTCAAATATAATGATGGTAATGTGAAAATGATCTTATTTCTCATATATGTTAAAAAAAATCCGTTCTTAATCCTAAAAATATTTTCATATTGGATGTCTTTTTTAGCAATTTATGGGTGTTATTTCTCAATATTAAGCCATTAAATTTAGTGAATAAAAACTATCTTAAGCAGTTAAATTTGTGTGGTTCAATAGTCAATGATAAAATAAAATGATTTTGAACTTCTTATATTGTCTATGAGTAATTGCGAATATTTTTTTATGTTCAAACTGGTTTTACTTGGTTCAAAAAGAAAATATAATAACAAATAAATAAGATTATAAAAAATAAAAATAAAAATAAAAATAAAAACCTTTTTACAAGAAAGAGTGGGACCCTCTATGTGATACAAGGATTCGATTTATTTATGTCTCTAAAATACTGGCCCTTCAAAAGATGACAAAACAAAAGGCACTATCAATCTAATAAGCTAATCTAATGAATCTACTTCTTTAAATTTCATTTTTTTAGGCAAGTGAATGGGTATATAAAGAATCCAAATAATCTTCAAAATTTTATGCCAAGATTCAACTTTTTTTTGGGTGCTGATAAATAGTAAAAAGATTTTTATTGATAAATCTTATTTAGAAGTGTTTTAATTCAAGAAGTTTATGAAGGAATTTTTTAATCTATTTAGTCTCATGTATGTATAGTTTTATTCCATGAAGTCTTTTTTCTTAATTTGCACTATTTTCTTGGATACTTATGCCCTTATATTTAATTTTGATACTCTTATAAATATTTTTTGAACGGTTAGCAATTTTATGATGTGAACATTCATATTTTAAAATTCACATTGGTAGGAATATAAAATTGACCCGTGGGCGGCCCGAAACCAGCCCGCGAGCCGGGGCGGGTCCGGCCCGTTGACAATGTAAATATTCATATTGACATGTTAACATTCACATTAATAAGAGTGTAAAATTGGCCCGCGTCCCGTGGCGACGCGAAACCCGCCCGCAGCTGATGTGTGGCCCGAGACGGGCCCGGTCCGGCCCGTTGACAATGTGAAACATGTTAACATTCACATTGATAAGAGTATAAAATTGGCCCGCGGCCCATGGGCGGCCAAAAGCCCGCCCGCCGCCCGGGGTGAGCTCGGCCCGGCCCGGCCCGTTGACAATGTGAATATTCACATTGACATGTTAACATTCACATTGATAGGAGTGTAAAATTAGCCCGCGCCTTGTGGCTGCCCGAAACCCGCCCACAGCCCATGGGCGGCCTGGGGTGGGCCCGACCCAACCTGCTGACAATGTGAATATTCACATTGACATGTTAACATTTACATTGATAAGAGTATAAAATTGGCCAGAGGCCCAGGGCGGGCCCGACCTGGCTCGTTGACAATGTGAATATTCACATTGACATGTTAACATTCACATTCATAAGAGTATAAAATTGGCCCGCAGCCCGTGGATGGCCCGAAGCCCGATCGCAGCCCAAGGCGGGCTTGGCCCGACCCGTGACAATATGAATATTCACATTGACATGTTAACATTAACATTGATAGGAGTGTAAAATTTGTCCGCTGCCCAAAGCTTGCCCGCGGCCCGAGATATGTCCGGGTCGGCTCATTGACAATGTGAATATTCACATTGACATGTTAAAATGCACATTGATAGGAATGTAGAATTGGCCCGCGGCCCATGGGCTGCCCGAAGCCCGCCCACGGCCCGGGGCAGGCTCGTTTCAGTTCGGGCCCGAGTATGTCCGAGACCCTAAGTTAGGGCCTAGGTCATCACTTTGAAACCCGGCCCGGCCCATCAGCCCGCTTAAGGCCCATTCAAGGCTCGGTCTGAGGCCCAGTCCGCCTGAGGCGCAATGTATTTTTTTGTGGAAAATAATAAAATTTTGGTTGAAAAAATTTAAAAAAAATTAAAAAAAAATGGCCAGGCCCGCCCAAGCCCGACCTAAGCTCGAGGCTAGGCCCAGGCCCACTGGCCCGACCCGAGGCTCGATCCATCGGCTCGTCCAAAGCCCGAATACCCTTGTGCTAGGGCTAGGGTCTAGGCCTAATTTTTTGGCGTATTGGCTGGCCCGACCCGGCTCGGGAAAGGGTCGTTTGTGCCCAGGCTCGAGCCTAGTCCGAGACCCTAGGCTAGGGCCTGGGCCATCACTTTGAAGCCCGGCCCGGCCCATCGGCCCGGTTAAGGCCCATTCAAGGCTCGGTCTGAGGCCCGGTCCGCGCCGAGGCCTAGTGTCTTTTTTTGTGAAAAATAATAAAATTTTGGTAGAAAAAATTAAAAAGAATTAAAAAAAAAGGCCAGGCCCACCCACGGGCCGTGGGCGGGTTTCGAGCAGCCATGAGGCACGAGCTAATTTTGCACTCCTATCAATGTGAATGTTAATATGTCAATGTGAATATTCACATTGTCAACAGGCTGGGCCGGGCCTGCCCTGGGCCGGGCCTGCCCTGGGCCGCTGGCCAATTTTATACTCTTATCAATATGAATGTTAACATGTCAATGTGTATATTCACATTGTCAACAGGCCGGGCTGGGCCCGCCTTGGGCCGCTCACGGGCCGTGGGCGGGTTTTGGACAGCCACGAAGTGCGGGCTAATTTTACACTCCTATCAATGTGAATGTTAACATGTCAATGTGAATATTCATATTGTCAACAGGCCGGGCCAAGCCCGCTCCGAGCCGTGGGCGGACTTTTGGCCGCCCATGGGCCGCGGGCTAATTTTATACTCTTATCAATGTGAATATTAATATGTCAATGTGAATATTCACATTGTCAACGGGTCGGATCGGGCCAGCCCCGAGCCGCCCATGGGCCACGGGCGGGTTTCGCGCCGCCACGGAACGCGGGCCAATTTTACACTCCTATTAATGTGAATGTTAACATGTCAATATGAATATTCACATTGTCAATGGGCCGGGCCCGCCTCGGCCCGACTCGAATTTTTCCGGGCACCCACGAGGATCGACATGGGCCGGGCCCCTACACATTGACGATATGAATATTCACATTGACGGTGTGAACATTCACATTAGGGGTATTTTGGTAATTATGTTACCAATAGGACTTATTGAAACATAAGAAAATAATGTGAACCAAATGGAATATAAGTAGATGAAAATGGTATTTTGGTCTTCTTATCTCAAATAAGACCTAATAGAATAGTCAAAAAAAAAAAAATGACTTAGATGGAATAAAACTTTTAAAAAGTGCATTTATCAAAAAAGCTTCCAATAATAAAATACCTACAAAAGCCCAAGTTGTCTTCATGCCTAAATTATATTATCTACTAATAAAAAATAAAAACAAAAAAAAAAGGAAATAAAAAAACAAAAACAGAAAAAACCAACTTTTAAAAATGACAATATTTGTAATTTCTCAAAAAAAAAAAAAAAAGGGTTTGCATTGGAAATTTCGTTTTGACTTAGAAAACAAATAACAAAAATAATTTAAACATTTATTTAATTAAATAATGTTAAAGCCAACATAGCGGGGTTGGATTAGAAAGTGAAGGGAGCATGTGGGTTTCTTCTGTTTTCTTCATCAAACACATGCATATGTATGTATTACCCATGATTCTATCTTATATGTATAATACCAAATTCTCTGATTTCTTGATTTCAATTGCTTTACAACAAAATACCCAGATTGTCTTTTTTGTATCTCTCTCTCTCTCTCTCTCTCTCTCTCTCTTTGCTTTCTTGATTTTTATATGCTTTAAGGTATGGTTTTCTTCAATGGTTTGGGATTGAATTGAGAGAAATAAGAAATCTTTTAAAATGGATGGCAATATAATTGGCAAATTCAAGAGGGTCTGTGTCTTCTGTGGAAGCACATCTGGCAATAGAAAAATCTTCAGTGATGCTGCTGTTGAATTGGGGAATGAACTGGTTGGTTTTGTTTTTGCTAAAACACACACACTATTAGATTGACTCTTTCTTTTTTATTCACAAAAGTGCTTTTGTAGCTTTCTAGTTTCAAACTTTTGGACTCTGAACATGTGAACTTTAGTTGAATTCCTGAAAAGGGTGTGTGATATGATATGTATTGAACTTGTTTGATGATAAGACTGACTGGTTTTTGGCTTCTGGTCTCAAAAAAATAAAATAAAAAATTAACTGTCTATGATCAGATATTTACTTTGTGGAGTTGTGAATTGGTCTTTATTGTATTGAACTGCTTTCTTTAATTTGAAAGTGGGATTGTTTTCTCCTATTTAGTTTCAGAACATGAACTTACTGAGGATTCTGCATTTTTCTTGAGGGGTTGTGAATTGGATTTTTGATCATTTGAAGTGGGTTGCTTACTCTTTGATTGAGAGTGGGACCCTTTTTGCATATGCTTGTTTAAGAAAGCTTTTTCTGGGTTTTGTTATCTCAAATTTTGATTTTTGATTTCAGGTCAAAAGGAAGATAGATTTGGTGTATGGTGGAGGAAGTGTTGGGTTGATGGGTTTGATTTCTCAGGGAGTGTTTGATGGAGGTTGCCATGTTCTTGGGTAACTAGAAATAATTTTTTTCTTTTTATTTTATTTTTACATATTTCCCCAAGATAAGCCCGTGTTCATCGATTTCGGCCAGGCTTTCTTGGTCAAGTTATAGCACTTTACTCAATTCTTGAATGCTCACGTGCAGGGTCATTCCGAAAGCTCTTGTGCCTCTTGAGGTATCCATGATTTTATTCTGTATAATTATCTTCCCACTGATAAGTACATCTCAAGTTACAATGCAATTTCCCCATAAATTAAGATAGGAGAAGTGTTCCTACAAAGACTATCTTTAGGATTGACAGACTGCTTTGTGAAGCTGGTATCGTTTGAGGTTAATTTGATTCTTGGTGTTGCTCTTAACTTGCCTTGGTTCTGTTGTTTTCTTATTTGTGTTCATAAAAGCTACCTTGATGAAAGTACAAAAGCTTAATACTTCCTAATGGTAGTCATTCCCTAGTTAATTATGATGAAAGTACCTCAATTGTTTGTGTTGTTGGAATTTTTTTACTAAATTGAATAGTAGAAATCATTAATATAGGTAAAATTGACAGATAAGTGGTGAAACTGTTGGAGATGTTAGAATTGTTTCAGACATGCATGAGCGTAAAGCTGAAATGGCTAGAGAGGCTGATGCTTTTATTGCTCTTCCCGGTAATTTTCTAAAGAGTTGTGTTCTTTCAAGGAGGAACTGTAGTTGCATACACTTTGTACTTTGGTATTCATGAATTATAAATTGTTTTAGGTGGATATGGAACCATGGAAGAGCTACTGGAGATGATAACGTGGTCACAACTTGGAATTCATAAAAAAACGGTGACTCATCAATTTTCATTTTGGAAGATCTCTGATTGGTGAATTTCTAGTCAACATTGTAACTTTTGTAATTCTCTTTACAGGTTGGTCTGCTAAATGTTGATGGTTACTATAATTCTTTGCTTGCGTTATTTGATAATGGTGTTGAAGAAGGTTTTATCAAGCCAGGTGCTCGACACATTGTCGTTTCTGCTCCAAATGCCAAAGAGCTTCTAGAAAAGATGGAGGTATTCACCCAATTTAATTATATTAATTTATTTTTATTTTTATATTTGTGCCTGTTTGGCTTAGGTTGTCAATAGAAGATATCAATTTTGATAAAGTGGAGATAAAAGCATATTTGGCTTTAAATAGCAGTAGCTACCCCAATGCATGTGCCTTTCTCTCCTTTGGACTAAACAATGGAAGCAAGTTCATTCACCTGCTTAAATTTGAACATAAAGAATTTTTGGCACTGCTTAAAAGTATGATTTGAACAGAAAGCTCATATGGGCCGGGATGTGGGAATTTTCAAAGCCTAGAAATAAATAGGGCTACCTGCTTTCACTCTTTCTTTTTCACAGGATTGATAGGGAACCTTTCTTCATATCTCCTTCTTTTTCTTGGTGCTTTATTTCTACTCTTATGTTGAATTGAGAGCTAATGACACCATCTAGCATTGGTAAATTCCCATTCATTGATCATAAACACTCTACTTGGTTTCATTTTCAGAATCTTTTTTTTTAAAAAATACTAAAAACTAGTTTGATGAAAATTAAACCAAAAAGATGTTTTTAAAAGTTAAAAATTTACTTTTGCACAAAAAAACTAAACAATGTGAAAAAGATTAGTGTTCTTGAATTTTTCATTATTTTTTCATCAAATTAATTCAGTGTTTTATCAGGAAACAGATTCTGAAAATGAAACCAAACAGGGCGAAAAAATTTTGTTTCAAACTTACTGCTGGGAAATTGATTTGTGAAACAAAGGGAAAACCATATGTACAACTAGACTCTAATTCTGTCTTTGAACTTTGCAGCAATACACTCCTTCCCATGATCAAGTTGCTCCTCGTGAAAGCTGGCAGATGGAGCAACTAGCTAATTACCCAACAGAACAAAATCCACATTAAATAAATATCTCATAGGTGGTAGGTCTATATTTCAAATTGATTCCTGATTAGATTCATCATGATTTGAGTTGTCCTTTGAGAATTTTGTTCAAATGGGCACACACGTTGTGAGTTACTATGTACTCTTGAAATTCTTTTGTGATTGGAATTCTAGTAGAATTTGCCTTGCTGTTTTACAACAAACATTGGTTTAGTGGAATGGTCAATCAACACAATATTACCTAGTCTTATGTTGTGGTTACCATTTGTAAAAGCTGAATGATAATTTGATATGTAACTAGATGGTGGACAGTTTGAGATTGAATATTCTACTGCAATTTAATTACGACTTTTAATTGATGTGATTATTGGGATACCCTACTGTGGCATCAATTTTAGGCTGTCTACTTTGGGCTACTAGATGTCAAGTTTACCCTTCTTTTTTTTTTTCTTTTTTTCTTCTCCTCTACTTTTAAGTTTCCTTTTATTACAGAGTAGGACATTGAACATCTATGTTCTAAACATTGAACATCTACTTTTAGCGTGTCTTTTGGAGCTTGAAAGAATAGGTACCGATTTATGACTCGTCATTACATGGGCGAATTTAGATGTTGAGTTTGTCCAACCTTCCCTGGCAGCTTGGGAATTATAATATGTGACTAGACCAATTTTCCCTTGAAGTGCTCCCAGTGAAGAGCTGAATCATATAATTGATGCATTTCAAGGTCGTGTCACGAAACTCTTTGAAAATTATGTCATTTTCCTGTTAGTGCTTTGACAGGAGATAGTAAGGCTTACAAATTGGTGAATAGCTTAGGCTCTTCTGTGAGGGTGCAAACAACTTATTATGACCTTATTGATTTCAATTATTTCCAAACATTAGTCATTTCTAAGAAGTTTGAGTTGCTTTGTATAAATTTGGATGCAACTTCATGAATCAAATCGAAATTGGTTGCAGTAGAAATGTACAACTTGACTTTGTCATGAAGTCGCATAAATTTTGCAAGGTTTCATATTGTTGACTGCCTTTTGGGGTCTTATGGTCTTCTGTTGAAACCTGCATGAATATCAAAGAAGCACGGGCGCAAGTACGAGTACGAGTACGGGTACGGGTACGTCAATACGGCAAAATTCCAAAAAAGTAGGATACGGCTGCGGTATGCCGATTTATTTATTTATTTATTTATTTTTTTTATAATTATGGTTAAAAGATCCAACCTACAAATTGAAGTTAAATATCAAAACTAAAAAGAGAACTATCAAAAATTACACTTAAATTTTGTATTACCACTTCCTCCTTCTCCCCTTTTAACTAATTTTGTAACATAGCCCCAAAGAGGAGCATTTTCATCTCCAGATTGATCAATGGAAGGAGCAGAAGCACTTGCAGCAGATGAACCTAAACTGCTTGATGAACTCATTTTCCTATAAGCATAAAAAATAATATTTTTGATTATTAAAAATAATATTTTATGATTAAAAATAATATTTATGATTATTATTAACATTCTGTTGACCTAATTTTATGATTAAAAATAATATTTATGATTATTAATATTTATGATTATTTCCTAATTTATTAATTTTTTTGATCTAATTTTTTTTTTGTTCTAAATATGATTGAATAACCTGGTTCTAATTTTTTTAATTTTTTTGTTCTAAATATGATTTTTTGTGTTCTAATTTATTAACATCAGATTATACCTCTGAAGAAAAAAGAAGAAACAAGAAAAAAAAATAAAAAAAAATAAAGATGAAGAGATACCTCTCTGCAGGTCGAAGCCGAAGTCTCTGGGTCGAAGTCGAAGACGAGGGTCGAAGTCGATCTCTGGGTCGAAGTCGAAGTCGAAGTCGAGGGTGATAGTCGATGTCGAAGACGAGGGTAATGGTCGAGTCGTTGTCGAAGACGAGAGTGATGGTTGAAGTCGCCTCTTTGCTTTGATGAGATTAGGGCAAAAGTTAAAGTCGAAGAAGGGTGATGGTCGAAGTCCTCTTTGCTTCGATGAGATTAGGGCAAATGTCGAAGTCGATGACGAAGACGAGGTGATTAGGGCAAATTGTATATACATTTTTTCTTTTTCTTTTTTTAATTTTTCTTAATATTGCTCCAGTACCCCTCAATTTTTCAGAAAATTTGATTTTTGCCCCCGCTGTACCCAAAACGCACCATCGGCGTACCCATTCCGTACCCGAGCCGTACCTATGCCGTACCCGACTGAGGCAGACATACCCGACCACTTTTTGCCGTACCCGGTACGCGTGCAGTCGTACCGGTACGCGTACCCGCACCCGGTAAGTACCCGGTGCGTGTACGGCACTATTTTTAGAGTACCCGTGCTTCATAACTCCTGAGTCATGTCCCATCTCTCTCTCTCTCTATATATATATATATATATATGCGAATGTGATTCTTGATGCTAAATTGGTGGCACTTCATGAGATATTACATGTTTTTGGTTGATTATCTTGTTTTGGTTCCTCAGCACCATAATATGCATAATTCGTTGCTTATCTAAAAATAGAAAATTAAATAATTATCTCTTTATTTTATATTCATCCAATTAATTATCTTTTAACAGGTCATACAAGTAAGATTCTCCCACAAATGTATGTGTTTTGTTAGGTATCTATATATTTATTAGCAAAAACTATGAACTCATAAAAAGTGTCAAGCAAATGTAATGTATGATATGAGATGTACTCAGAATGAATTTGATCAACATATTTTTATTTTGTGACATTTTTGTTTGTACTTTCTCTTTGGGTGGCATAGTATTGATAAATATATAACAACTTGTACGGCACTATTTTTGGAATACCCATGCTTCATAGATGAATATATACCTTTTTTTCTTGACTTTTCTCTCTCCAGGTCTGTAGAGTGTAAATTCAAGTAATTTTGCTTTGCAAGTCAATAGAGAGCCATCAATTCATATGAACTCCTCATAAGTTATAGATTTGTACTTCTTGTAATTACTTTGCTGCATTTAAATTGGGTCATTAGAAATCAATTTAGTGACCATTAAACGGTGAATACCTTTCTTGAAGACACTTGTCTCGAACACTCCCTTAGTTTGCCGACAAATGATTGCAGAATGCAGAGTATGGCCCTGCAAGGGTGACAAGACATCGGTGGCTAATTAAAGCTTGCAGGCATAAAATAGTGAAAAATAGTAGGCAATGGAGACACATTTGTCGCAAAGTTGTCCCAAATCATAGGTGCTCAACTGATCTGTCATAAGTTAGTTAATCTGTTTCCTATACATGAGCTTGGCCTTATTTTTAGGTATCTACTGCAACATTCACATGGGGGTTGTATATGGATCGCCTACCGGAGGGACCGAGGCGGCTTCTCCCACCTGTCTGGATATGCGACATCTGTTTGGGCCCTTGACGTGGCATGTCTTGATTGGGCACATGAAATTTGGTTGCTAGGATTGTATTTTAGGGATATTTTAGTGCAGGTTGATGTGAGTTATGGTGGACCTTAGGGTCTGGTAATTTCATGAACAGATGACTAAGGTGGAGGTGGTTGTTGAGTGCTGACACTAAAACTGTTACAAATGGGCTCATCACTGGTAAGTGATGGGGGTCCCTACTCTCTCTCTCTCTCTCTCTGGTTTACTATGTAACTTCATTAACTGATAGGAAATATGAAATGGAAAAATAAAAAGAAAAAAAAAAAATTGAGGATCCAAGTAATTAAGGGCATCTTTGATATTGTTTTTGTTTTCTGTTTTTTATTTTTATAAAATATAGAAATATTATTTGAAGAACTGTTTCCGGAACATGTTTTCCGAAAAATTTTGTGAAACAAATAAACTTTATAAGAAATACCAAAAAGTTGTTCCAGATTTTCACAAAGAATTTTTGCACAAAAATGAAAATAATTGATATTTTCGAATTTTTTTAATATTTTTATTTCTAAAACATGAAAAATGAAAATGAAGAAAAACATACAACCAACCAACAAGCTCTGACTATTCCAAAATATGGAAAATTACATTCATCCATAACCCATTCAACAAAATGAACTGATTCCATTTTAAAGAGTTATATCTAATTATATTATCAGATTTTGTATGCTTAGAAGAGACAATACCTTTTATTTCAATTCAAGCCAAACATCAGAAGTTATATACAACACTCAACTGATCCTCCATGTCGTCTCTGTCATTGTTATTAAATTGTGTACTAAAATTGTTCTTAATTGTGTATAGTTGGGCCAATCTTCTCTCATGTCCACTCTGTGTACTGGACGGTGCAGTTCAGGCCAGTGAGGACCACCGTGGTGTCTCACTCTGATCCAATTTATTCATTTTTTAGGTTTCTGACTAGATCATTTAAGAAGAAAATAAATTATATTGATCCAATAGATGATCATGGCAACATGAATTTATTATGTCTTTAAAATTTTTTGAGGTACTTACGTGTAGATTCTAATACGTGGACTTATTGCCTAATAGGTCCTATAGAAAAATATTGTCATAAAAAAAAGTCATTAATTGTAAATTTTAGCAACAATTTATAAAAAGCATGACAAAAAAAGTCACTAATTGTCAATTTTAGCGACATAAAATATTGTCATAAAAAAATTATTTTTAACGACAATTTTACTAAGACTTATTTTCAATAAGACTTTATAGGAATTAAATCCAACTATTAGGACCTATTGGTAGTTTATCCAAATTCTTTGTCATATTTGTCTATAGAAAATGAATAATACAGATAATTTTATCCAAAATATTCAAAATTTTGTGGTTATAACATTTTTTGTTATATCAATTTGTGGCGATGTCATGAAATTTTGTCGTAAAGTTAGGCCTAGGGTTTCCCTAACATAAATACATTGTCTCGAGTAATAAATGATCCCTAATATGTCATCCAGAAATGAAGAACGAAGAAGTATAGGAATTTACATGTTGGGTACCTCAATTGTTGTCAGTCTCGGCTTTTACTAGCAATATATAGATACTGCCCTAAAATCCTCTAGGAATTTTTAAAAAACTGCATGCAATACGGGGACCTTCTAAATATACCTACCAAATTTCGCATACTATAAACATACAAATTTTAGAAACCTAGTTAGAGATACCTTGCATTGAAACTAATCTAAAATAGAACTTTGCGGAACATAGTTTAGGATTCTCAATAAACCTAGCAATACCCGAGTCCAAAGAGAAACACCAAAAAATGAATAGTAAGAAAGAAAGGTTAGAAGAAAAAAAAAATTGGCTAAATCACATGAGAACCTATTCTCAGCAGAGAGGATAATAACTATTTTGCTGCTGCATTTTGTCAAACAATTAACACGTTGAGCGCTTAACTCACTGATGCGTACCAAAATATTGAAAAAAAGAAAAAACAACAAACAATTCAACCACAGACCTCTGATACTGCCTACTATACTACTTTCCAACTAACTCTCCAAAGTACAGAGTTCATTAGCAACCAACTCTTAACTAATTGTGTGACTGACTTCAACAGTTTACAAATTGATAACAACAAATTCAACAAACTAATAATTGCCTAAGCCCCAGCTCAGCCCTGACTCACTCACATATCCCAACTAAGCAAAACTAAAACTTGCAAGTAATCATAGAATCATTGGCTTTGTAAAAAATATATAACTTACTTCCTCAATTACTTCAAAACCTAACACCAACCGTAACAACAGATAATTGCAACAACTGAAACCTAATGAGGCTTCACAGCAAACTAAAGGAGGCTTTACATAAAAAAAAAGCACATTTAAAAGGAAAATTGCAAGGACTTCTTCGAAATAAAGAAAAATGATGAGAGGTATGTATAAAAATGCTATAAAAAAAAGGAACCTATAAGTAACTCATAACAAAAGCTTTAGTAAATGTGATCTAAATCCTAGATTACAAGCACTCATGATAACTGGTTCTGGCCTCCAAAACCAAATAGCATGAAACAGGCATGCACATGGGTTATGCTTGCTTGCTTCCAAAATCATAGTTTCAATACAAACCTCAGTATCAGGAAGTTTTCAGATTAAAACATCCAAATAAAAAGTAGGTATTAGAATTGGGCTATAATTAGACAAGAGTTGGTTACAAAGAATTTGGCAATGATGAGTTTTAAGTATAAGAATAGTCCAATTAAATGGATCCAGAGCATTTTACAGTTGGACTTTCACACGCATCATTTTTAGGTAGATCCCCAAAGAGCTTGAGACATAGATCACAAGAAAGACAGGAAGCTAATGCCGGCCACAGTGTTAAGATGTCTTATGAAATGAAACATTTTCACTAATTTTCATAGAAATAAACAGCAGAAAAACATCCATGAGAATAGACTTATCGCAAGAGAAAAACAGTGATATTACTGAAGACTTGAGCCACCACAACAATTGGAAAGCAAATAAGAGAATGATGTGTTACCTCAAGGAAAATGAGTGAGAGCACTAATTAGTGCTATCACTAATGATGTGGCAGTGGGCTCCACCAGGAATGATTTGATGTTTTGGCCTTGGTGTTGTATTTTTTTTCTTTTTTTATTGAGTGCCATGTCATTAGTGGTCTTTTTAGAGCTCCAAAATTAGTGGGGTCTCTATCATTATTGGTTACCTCAATATGCTATACATACTATGGAATAGAACACTTCAAATGCTATGTAGAAAAGCCACATTCATTCAGATGCCATGAAAACACAATAAATTAATGCCAATTTCACACCTTACTACACCGTCATAGATAATTCACCTTCAAATCTATGATCTACCTTGATAAAAACCAAATTTACTGAGAACAATAAAGACTAAGAAGTGGATGAGCTTCTGTTCATCTAAAGCCATTAAACTACCACCAAACTGGAGATGGAAAAAGTTTCTATCAAAAAGATATTCAAAATTGCTAGCAGAAGTAAGTCAATTACAAATCAAACAACAAACACCACAGCTTAACCAAGGGGACAAACCTATGTTATCTAGAAAGTGGATCATTTTGGCACGAGAAACGGAAATGGGAACATGGTATGCCAAATGCTCTAAAACATGGTACGGAAGGGGCAGATTTCTTGAATTTGACATCTAATATATTATAATGTATTTGTCTTCAAATTAATTGTTCAACAACAAAGTTCTATGAGCATTATGACCCAATGTATTACATTTTGTCAATCCAAAACTTCACTCCATCTAGATTTTAGTTGATTATATTTGACCTTTTCCCTGTTAAGGATAACTTTTAATGAAAAACATAGAAAAAACTATGGGATCACTTTGAATCACTAAATTTACTGTTTTGAAACGAAAGTGTACCATATTTCAGAACGTGCATTCCAAAATATAAAATGCTAGGGAGATAACGTTTTCGGGTAACACTGACACAAACACAACAGCTTTTGTATCCTTGCTACATAAACTAGTAGAGACATAACTCAACAACTGTAATAGTACTATAAAAGTAATGAGGACTGGCTGTAGAAATTAACAACCATATCACCAAATATATTTTACAAAATTAAATAGAAAGATAGAATCTCATTTAAACTTAAAAATGCCAAAAATGAGATTATCTTATTAGCATAAACAGAGAAATTGATTGGAAAACTTAGAAGGGTTTTCTTAGTCCAAGGCCTAGGACTACATAATACAAAGTACAAACCCAAACTTTTAAAGCGTATAGCATTCAATAAATTAATTACACCCAGATCAGTCCCAATTGGATGGGGCTCTAGAAGCAGTAGATTGGATACAAACCTAACCTTTGCCATAATTTGCAAAAAGTGGCTGCCCTCAAGTTCGAACCCACAAATATATGCAACATAAAAAGACACATATCTAGAGAGTCAATGGTCCACAAAGAAAGTCATCAAAAGTCAAGCCAACCTCAAAAGACAAAACTTCAATCATAACAAACTACTGGCATTGATGACTTCAAAGGAGTCCATTGTGAAACTCCAATTTAGGGAACAAATCAACAAAACATAGGAGTTAGAAGATACATCAGCAATTCAAACGGTCAAAATTGAAAATTTGAGACAATCAAACATTTTCCCTATTGTATCAAATTCAATCTAACCAATCCTCCTTATAAATAATGTTAGTGGGTGAATTTATCATTAACCATGCTTACAAAAATTAAGTGGATCAAATTCAAATAACCCAAATCTTGAATTTAAGGTAATAGACCATAAATCTAGGAGTTGGCTGAGTCTGACACTATGAGTTAATCACACAATTAGAAGCACAAGTAAGAAATAACACCAAGAAAGGAATCGCTTTAAGCTCCACCCCAGAATCAACATTCACCGCAACATATCCTTATTAGTTATAACTAGAAGCCTCACAACACACAAATACGTATATACTACAAGAAATTTTGGATAAAACATTAAGTAAAGAACAAATCCAAAATGAACCTATAGAAAGTTATAAACAACTAAATTTAGAGAAACAAACTAGTTCTTCACTGGAAAATTGAAATCCCAATGACATAGAATTTTGACTTTATCACCCAACTCACATATGTATACCCCAACATCAAGAATTAGTAAAAGGATGGCAACACATAAAGAACCTAAAAGAAGAAGAATCAATAACAAAAAAGAAAAAGAAAAAACTTTCATTTTCTGGAAATTCCACATCATGAATTTATGTAGACAGCCCAAAAACACAAAAACTTATAATTTCTCACAGAGTTTTCCAAGCACAAAACATGAAAGTTAAGCAATAGAGATAAATAAAAAATCAAGACCACCCATAAACCACGTGGGTGTACCTATCCTTGAGCCACTTGAAGCTCTTCCTCAGAGACCCTTTGACCTTCCCTTCAACAGAATAAACCTTATAGCTAGCAACCCTCTTCTTCCTCATAAACTCTGGATCATTCAAACCCCAAGATTTTGAAGAAGACCCACCTGTGCTTTTCCCTTTCTTTAACTTGGGTTCTTTCACAAAACCCAACTGGGTTGTTGTTGATGATGGTGGTGGTGGTGCATAAGAAGAAGCATAGGAAGCACTATAAGACCTGAGATCATGAGGGTTTGAATTGGGTCTGTACCCATAGTAGCTCTCCATCTCCATCCTGCCATCAGCATATGACTTTGATCTGTAATCTCCCATGGATTTCACTGAGAGATTGATTGATTGATCAAAGTTAAGAAATTGGGTATATTGGCAGGAAGGCAGTGAGAAAATGGGATTCTTCCACCAAGAGGGGGAACAAAAATAGAATAAAAACTGGAATATATTTCACTCAGATTATCATGTATAATATTCCTATTGATATATGTATAAATAGTAATTTTCTTGAGCAGATATTATCGATTCTACATGCCGTTGCAAGAGGGGAATTTCAGGGCTTGACCAGTCAGTCAAATAGGACAGGCGCCAGTCTGTCAACTTCTGAGTAAATTACAGTTACATCCCTGAAATTCCTTTGAAATTACTGTCTGCCTAATTTGTTTGGTTTAGTTTTGAGTTTTTTATTTTTTTTATTTTTAAACATTTTTTTTTATTTTTTAAATATACCTAATTTATATGTAATTAAAAAGTATAGATTAAATTATAATGCACTCCAGAAATTTTACTTAAAATACGAATTATCTCTTGTAATTTTATACATTATATCCTCCTCTTTGAGATTTTTAATTTCATAACAAATAGCTCATTTTATTAATAAATTATTAAGTTAATTAATAATTTTTAATGATATTAAAACTTTATTTCAATTTATAATTCAAGTAATTTTCTTATTGTATGAGAGAACAATTAAGAATTTTCTTTTTTCAATCAATTTTGTTAAAAAATTCTGACAATGAAATATTTATAATTTTTCAAATCATAAGGACAATTCATATTTTAAGAAAATTTTAAAGAATGCATTTATAATTTACTCAAAAATATAATATTTATAAATAAAAAAATTGATTTCAAAATTTATTATAGAAAAAAAAATATAAATAAAAATAAATAAAACCTGGACGCATTTAGAATGTTAAAAAAAATTACTAAAAATATGAAAATTGCAATTTTTAAGTTTAAAAGTCAAGCAAGACTGAATTGTTTACTTTACCAAATTTTATGACACTTTAATCCTTTTAAGGTGGGTTTGATTGAAGGATAAGGGAAGGATTATTTACTATTGGATTGTAATTCGGGAGAGGTTCTTTATTCGGCGTTTGTTTTTTTATTAGTCTGTCAGATATGGAGTTCGGCCGGACTCCTTATCCCCTATATGGGGGACTATTGTATCATAGGGACGGTATGGGACAATTTTCAGGGAGACTATCCACTGTTGGGATTAGGTGATGAAATGACCATTTTGATCTTCTACTATTTAATTATATATTATATTTAGTAAAATTCAATATAATTTAAATGTCTCAATTTAAAAATAAAATAATTTTACTTAACTTTTTACTGATTTTTTATTTATTTAATTTTTAAAAATAGTTTTTTTATAGATATTTTTTGATGTTTTATTTTAAAATTTTGTTTATATTTTATTTAATTTCATTATTTAAATTTTAATAGATGTTTTATTTAATTTCATTACTTAATTATTATTATTTTAAAAAATAAATTTATTTAAAATTTTAATTAAAAAAATAACATATATTTTTATTGATATTTTATTTATTTATTTATTTAAAAATAAATTTATTTAATTGTGTAAAAAATAAAATAAACTAATATTTTATTTAATCTAGCTAAAAAATTAAAATATTAAAGATATGTTTAATATTGCTATTACTTAGTAAACAATTAAAAAATGATAAAATAGTCTTTTATTCATTTATCCTATTCAGTCTGTCCAACCAAACGTTGGATTCACTAAAAATAGTCTTTTCTAGATATCTAATCCCATGAAAAAACAAACACAGGATACATATACAATCCAACCAAATAGTCCGGGAGATTCACAGTCCCAAGACTCAAGTCCGATGGATTTTAATCTCCTCTTATCCAGTCCGTCCAACCAAACACAACCTTAATAGTTATGATTGTTTTGGAAAGATGGTTAAACACTAATTTTTTAGTTTTTTTTAAAAAAAAACATGTAAAAAATATAAGAGATGGTATGATCGAAAATATATTAAAAATTGAAAGATGACTTCTCAAAATAACTCCTAATCAATATCATTAAGGTGAGTGAGAGATGACTTCTCAACTACTGATTAGGAGTTATTTTGAGAAGTCATCTTTCAATTGAATCTTAGATGACTTCTTATATCATGTAATATAAACGATTCATCTCTCACTCACCTTCATGTGCTATCGAATAATTCCTATTCCATGATTTCATAATCCGTACTCTAAACCACTATCACTACACCACTTGAATCTAAGAGTTGTTTTGACAATAACTTAAAATAGTCGTACAGTCACTATAAAAAAATAACTATTCTTTTCACTTTTTCATGCGCCTTTTTATAAAAAAAATTAAAAAAACTAATTAAAATAATCACTTTCCGAAACAACTCTAAACGACCATAGCCTCGTCCATTTCATCAATGAATACCTTGCATCTGGAGAGCAATGGTGGTTGTTGGTTGTGACAACAGTAAATAGGAGCACAACATGTCCCAATACAAGGGCTTATGGTGAGGTTATGAATGGCAAAACAGCAATCCCAATGGCAAACTCACTCACTAGTCCTACATTAATTTTTATTTTGCCACCGAGTCCAAGACACCTGTTCAAATGTTGCATAATTGGTGAAAAATCTCTCAAAATATTTGTATTCACTGTCTCATGGACAAAGTCCCTTGATTTAGATTTATTTATTCATTTAAGCACACATAATTCACAAGACCTAAATTGGTAGGCTATTTTGCCCCTCTACCTAATTCTTGTTAGGGTTATTTTTTAATCAACTGTGGAGATTGATATTCATTGCGTTCATTTTGGAAAAAGTTATCCACAGTTGTCTTCAAACTTCATAATGCCAATAGAACTTCAAGACGGGTGGCTCAAGAAAGTGAATGAAAAATAGTGAAGAAATTATAGAACTTTGGCATCTGCAGTTTTAAAGAATAAAGAATTTCAAGTAGAAGCCCCTAACTATTGTTCTAGGCTGCAGTTAACATCCTTGTTTTTTTTAACTTGGGGGCAGGTTAGATAGGGAAAGGGGTGCCTGCTGTACAGCAGGTACTGCTGTGCTCCAAAAGGGCACCAAAAAAAAAAAAAAATCTCTGTCGTTTTTGCATGCACGGCACACCCTGCTGTGCTTAAGCACAGCAGGTACCCCTTGTCCGGTTAGATAACATCTCCACAAACAAGTTCTTTTCCCAAAAACAATGAAATGATGTAAATATTATAGTGAGCATACCTACTTGTTTTTTAATTGATTGTTAGGTTTTTGTAATTGGTATTTTTGTTTAACAAAATTCTTTTCAGTTGTAATTATATTCAATCTTTTGTTCTAGTAAGGCTATGAGTGTTTAAGTGCGAATCTAACTCAAATTGTGTTTATGCAGAAGAGTTTGTGATCTTGATCCTTTTATGTTTGTTATTTCGCTAACTATGTACCCGAAGCAAAAAACAAAAATGCAGTTGAAGTTGTTTGACCGCTCGAGCGGTGAATGGCATCATCTAGTACTTTTGCAAAGCGCTTGAACTTCTGGGAATCAAGTTTTACCGCTCGAGCAGTGAAAGTTGCTCTCAAGCGGTCTACCTATATATTTTGCATTGCCTTTACTCACACCGATCAAGCGGTGAAATGTGCAATCGAGCGGTCTTCGCGATCATATTTTCTATAAAGTGCGTCATTCGCTATTTTTAGGATTCAAGTTGTCTAGAATCTTAGAGAGAAAGAAAAAACAAAATGTTTTCTATTGGAAGCTGTTTTATATGAGTTTTCTTGGTGTGTAAAAGGTGATCGATTGATCTAACGGTCTACAGATTGTCAAACATCAGAGTTATTCTTATTATTTCGTTCACAAAAGAGAGAGTTGTTCTTCAGTAGATTCCAGATAATTTGGGCTTGAAACTTTGATAGATTATAGAGTGGTTCATCGTCGTGGATTCAATGTCGGGCAAGATAATTTCAAGATGAAGACGGTGGCGGAAGAGGCACATTGGGTTCAGTTCAATTCAGGCATGAATTTGCTAAGTGAATGAGGGTACACTTGTATAATTCATTTTTATTTTCTTAGTGAATTATTTTGTGGCTTTTGCCCGTGATTTTTTATCACAATTGGGAATTCTCCAATTGTGGTATTTTCTTACATTAAATTATTGTGTCGATTTATCTTTGACTGTTTTATTGGAATTATTATTTATTGTTTAAAATTAAAATATAATCGCAAATCAATATCTCGAGAATTTTAAATTTTTCATTGTATATTGCCAATAAATATGTAATTAGGTGTTTGAGCTTGGACATATGTATATTGTTGCTTTGCTTTGCTCATGGGGGTGGGATTTTACAATTTAATTGTTAAGAGTAGTAAAAAAATTATTTTGCTTTTCAAATTTATATTTTTTTAACAGAGAATTTTGAGAATTTTATTATTATGATAAAGTCATTGTTTAATATTTTTATTTGTAATAGTGACAGTGATAGTGGTAATAGTAGTAGAAACCTTTTTTAGTACTGTAATTTGTGGTTTTCAAACTGCAATTAACCACAAATTTGTACATGTTCATTTGTTTAAGACAATTAATTTGATTTCATGTATTTGTAAAATTTTATTGTTTAAATATTATCTTAGTTTTCATTGTATTAATGTTAGTTCGGACAATGGAAAATATATATATATATATATATATTATGAGCAAAATCTCCTAATTAGAGTATTTTTAATGGTTTGTTATTGGAACTGCTATTGTTATAATTTGACAGCTGGATAAGAAAATGGTGCCCCAATGGTGCCATATGGCAACTGCCAAATTTGGCAAATGCCAAAGCTGATGCCAAATTTGACACAAATTTTGGTAGCTGTCATATGTGTCAACCCAGGCAAAACCTCCCTTCTTCCCAGCAAAACAGATAAATTTTTACAAAACTGTCATTTTTGCAGTATCAAACACAGAAGCTGGGATATTCGGGACGTTTGGCCAGTCGTCCAAGCACACCAATTTTTGTGTTTGGTTTTGCCAAAATAGCATCTGACTATTGAAGCACCATTGTTATAATTCTTCAATTGTCTACTATTCATTATCAAATTATAACAATTACAATGTTATTATAGCATTTGCCATTAGAGATGCTTTTAGAAGATATTTGGGATGATTTAAATAAATATATTTTTTTACCTTTTATGAAAAGATGTACAAAAAAATAGAGAAATGATATGAATTAAAAAAATAAAAAGATAAAAAAATATACTAAAATA